ATGTCACTACCTTATTTACTCTACTTGCCAGTAGGTAATTAAATAAATAAGTAAATTCATCACATAACGATGTTGTTATAAATTAACGAGTTTGTAATTTAATTACATAGTTATAAAGGAGCTTCAAATATTCCCATACATTTTAGATAATAACATGTGATCATTTGTAAAGTATGTTGCCTACCTTACATATTTTAGGGAGCCTTAGATTTTAATTTAAACATGTTATGTTATCATAATTGGATAATTATTTATCAACTTCAAAATTTATGAAACTTTTTGTTATAGTATCAAATTAACCTGTAATATAATTAGTTGACCGTTTAATAATGTAAATTTATTTATATTTTAGTAAAGATAACTTCTATACAATTTTTTTTTTGTTAATAATTACAAAAATATATTTTTCCAATATATTCTATCTGTTTATTACAAGTAATATAAGTAGTAGATTCGGATAACTTAACAAAAATTGCCATTTTATAAGTGTTTCGTATAACCTTATAGTTATCTTGCCGGATTTAATGAGAATGTTGTTAATGAATTGCAATTAGTTCACAAAGCATTAGAATTTAGCGGAAGTCATAGTTTTTAGAAGAATAAGAAAAAGTAAATGAATTAGATTAATATCTCTTTATATCAGTAAAAAATATTTCAAAAAAATTATTTCTTTATCGTTGTTTAGTAAAAATAAATTTTATTATTAATTTAGTCGATAACAAAAAAAGTTACTAAGCCAAAAGAGCTAATTTTTTTTGGAGGAAAATCGTTTTTCTTAACTATGGAATTATAGCGAGTGTCTTTTCGGAATTATTCTTATTCTACACAGAAATTTAATTCATTTTTTTATTCGATTTTTAGGATTTTTTATTATTATTATTTGTTAATAAATATGGTCATAAAATCCTATACAAATGTATTTATAAATTATTTATAAACGATTTAAAAATAACAGTATAAATTATAAAATTTTAATTTTAAATTTTCTTAACTAAATTTTTTAAGTATGTAATAAAAGAACTAATATTAATATGATAAAACAGGCCAATATAATATAATATAATATAATAATATTAATTTATTTATTGCATAGACCTATTATATTGTTAAAACAGCGAATAATTTGAAAAGATACATGGAAGTTATATTAGTTGCCTTGTTTTATCTGATAGAGTTAGATAATTTTATTTATTAATTAACTCAGGGTATGTAAAATCATTTAATATTTATAAAATAATTACAATGTTATATTTTTCCCATCTAATATTTAGACGATCAAGATTTAGATGATCTAATTAAAGACGTGGAATAATAACCAAACGCAATAATCGTGGAGTATTACATCTAGAGAAAATTAATCTTTAAAACGATATTGTAACGATTCTAAATCTTGAATCGAACCATTAGAATATGGTGACCGAAAAATAGAATTGTAATGAATAATCGATCGAACTAAAATACGGTATAGAGCTTTAGGATTAGTCAAATCAAGATAAATTTTTGTTTAGTATAAAGTATAATATTAGTAAAATTATAAAGAATAGTTATAATGAAATCTTTGTTATTGTTAATTCTTGAAAATTTAACACCATTCAAGTAATATTTATTAAGTAATACAATTTTTTGCTTAGAAAAAGTCATTAGTTTATATTTGCGTTTAGATCAAATGTGTTTATAGTACACCTATGACCTAATGAATTAAAGTCATTTTGTGATAATGAAACATTATTAGGAGATTTGATAGTAAGAAATAATTTTAAATCGACGGAAAAAATTAATATATTGGAATTAAAAATGTTAATATCATTAATAAATAAAATAATACAGGCGCTAAGTGTGAACCCTGTAATATTCCCAAACTAACAACAAGCTCATAAAAAGTAAAATAGATTTTTTTTCTATTAGTTAAAAAACTAACCAAGAATTAAAAACATGTTGCATATCAAAACTTTTAATTTAGATAGGATATCCTGTAAGATATATGTATAGGATTATACATAAATTCTTATAGAAATTTTAATATCGTATAAAAATATTAATTTTATGAAATGCTTTAGTGTATATTACATTTGCCTGATAACCTTGTTATAAATGAAACTAAAATGAATTGTTAGACTAGATAAATGGTGTTGGTTGACATATCAGGCATACATAAATCCATGTTGTTCATCGTTAATTATATTTTGAAATAATGATAATATCTTTTAATAAACAACAGTTTTAAATATTTTATGAATTTTGAAAGTAATAGAAATAAAACGATAATTAATAACAATATTATCACCACTTTAAAAAGTAGAAGAAACATAGGCGAGTTTAAAATGATTTTGTGATTATGGCAAACAAAAATTAAGGACCAAAATGATTAAATAATCTTTTGTAAAACTTAGATAAACATTTTTTTTCAATTATCTTTTAACTTAGCTAGTTAAATTTATATTTGTTTAATTCAACTGTTAACTTGCTGACATTGTTCCTGCTTAACTTATATTTAGTTAATTATTTCCCCTAACTTGCCCATCTTTGTATATTTTTAAGAAAAATCAACTCAATCATTGCCGTTAAATGCATGATAAATGTTATTCAAATTTTTAGAAACTATACATGGCCTTATGATATAATTAATTTTTTTTAATTATATACTTTTACTTGTAAAATAAATTATTTATAGAATCAATTGGTAAGTTAACTTAGTATGATAATAGAGATAGTCAATAGATACAATAACATTTTTCAGGAGAAACATTTATATTAATATTGGAAAAACTAAATTTAACACTAATTCTAAATTATTAGCTACGGATATTAAATTAAGGACAATTAGTATGAAATATTTTAGATAAAATGTTAGATTCAAAACAACCAACAGATCACGATACAAAACTAGCAACAATATGAAGTGATTTATTAATGATTTATAAATTTATTAAACATCATGAAGAAATATTTCTAATTAATTTTTACAAATACTTATTCAATAGCATTATTGTCAACGGCTAAACGACTACAATTAAATTAATAATGATAGCAATAAGAACTCCATCCCGCGAATATGATCATCATTAACATCACATATGTGCATAGACATTTAAATACATTGTGAATATTGTGAATAAAGTCAAAGTTCGACATCGACTACGTTATTATTGTGTCTCAGATAAGATAACAATGTCATAACTGGAAATGGAAACATTGCAGCTAAATTTAGTGTTAATTCCCCTAACATTCCGATAAAATATAGAAACATTATTTATTGTAGAGTGATACTTGAATCGTTTTCTAAAATAACTAGAAAATTGCTAATAAATCATTTTCACCACTATTTTTCCTTAATTTAATGCCTGTTAAAACATCTTTAAAATATTTGCACAAGAGTGGTGTTTTCTCAAAATGTATGGGTTTCTAATGTTCTCGTTGTTTGTTACAAATTAATCTGTTTCCTTACTTATTGAACACTCTGTATACGCATACCTTTAAAATTTGCTGTACTTAGAATTTTTTTTATTATATTTTGAGTATTTCAAAAACATCAGCAAGTATAGGCAGTAAAACGCAAAAATGTCGATTTTTATTCAATTTATTACCTATTCCCTGTATGGAAATTGTATAAATAGTATAAATTATTCTAAATATTTCTGACTAGAATTTAGATTCGCAATGATTAGACAGTGAATTTGTATATTAAGAAATATTAAGCATTAAGATATTACATGATCTAGACTGACGATACATAAATTCTATATATATTGTTCATGTCTAAGAAGAAAAGTATTAATTTTATTTTAATCAACTTTATTCAGTTCAGTAGATCTAGTAAATCTAGCTAAACATAAAATAAAGTAATTTTTTAACCGTGATTTCATTATATCCAAATCCAAAAACATTAATGGAAGTAACAATTTTATTTAATAATTTTTCATTCCGTTAAAAATTTTAAAGAGTTTAGATATTTAGTCAGTAATACTGGCGTTAGAAGAATTATTAGGAGATTTAAGTTTATTCGCATTAGACATATTTTTCTAAAAAAATAACACTTATAAAATAACGACGACAACACATCGATTCAAAATTGTTTTTCGTGAAAAAAGAAAAATTAATTTTGTTGAACTTAAAATTTGGACGTTTAATTCCTATGCCATAGCATTGAATCATTTAGAATTTAAAAGAAATTCTATTAAAAATATAACTTATAAATTAAATTCTATTAATTCTTAATAAAAATTTTTTTTTGCTTAAGAAAAATCCTAATATTATATTAAATATAACATTTTAGTGTTAGAGCCTTTTAAGATAAATTTAACATTTGATAATAAATACTTCTGAAAAAAACTCATTAACTATAAAATAATGATCTAATTTAAATGCGTGTTTATTGTATGAATAATATATTTACCACCCAATACGATATGTCAGTATGTCAATGATAACATGACCCCAAATAATTATGTTAGACTACAACCTTATTTCTGCAAGTATGATAATTTCCAACTAACTGTTTATTTAAAACATCTTAAATAAGTAATTATTTATTTTAATTATTATTAATATTCTAATACATTTAATTTATACAAATATATATTAGTAAATCAATGTATTTAAATTATTTAAAAATTAACTTGTTCGGAAGTAATAATTTCTTTCATTACAAGACATTAAAAAAATAACGTATTAATAATACGTTATTTTTTAGAATTATCATTTTGACGGTTGTTTTAGTACATTAACAAAAAATGATATGGCCCAACAACTAATAATAGATTTGACTGAGTTTTTTGAACAAAGCGAGTATAGATTGAATATTGAACATTTTAACTAAACTGTAAATAACAAAATATTTCATAACCTACTGCTAATGTAACATGGCCACTTTGTAAGTGCTTACAACATTTTATGAAGTGTATACAAAATCACGACGAACAAAACTCGATTAAATAAAAACCGGTTTATCTAATAATTGTGTATTCTTTATGCAATATTTTCTTATGACATATAATACGTACCCGACGGTATACGTTCCAAGCAAATCATTATGACAATTCTCCAGCGATTTTATGCCAAGTACTGAATGTGATTCACTTCTAGTATTTTCTTAAACTATTCATCAAAAACGAAAATGTCCAACTTAATAATGATCGATAAACGCTGAACACTGTACGTATGATGTTTTCCTATGAGTTGTGTAATATGATTATATTTTATCGAAACTCTTAATTACGATTTGGTTAGGTGCTCGCGCGATACTAGTAGCGTTCCGTTTTTATAATAATTATTTATGTGTTAAGTGTCTGTCATTTCCTGTACTACACACAGAGATACTACATTATCATTTAGGCAACTGCACACCTCGTACTCATAGACACACACATTAAACATAAAACACGAGTGAACACGTACTCTGATATCGTGTTATGTATAAGTAGTACTTTCGTAATATTAATTCGTTTACAGCCAATCGCACGGTTTGGTGGTGGAGGGGGTTAATTAGAGAACGGACAGATTGGACTTTTTTCACATCCTAAGACGGCCATGTCGATAGATCCACCCCAAGTAGCCAAATTGATTCCTCTTGAATTTATCTACATGAAATCATTCAGCCAACCACAAAACAATCTCGCCAACATAAAAGTTCTGTTATCGAACTTAAAACACTCCAAGGACAAATTCGGTAGAAAACAACACTTTGACATGGTTAATATTTTATGATGATTTATACATTTTCTAAAATATTAAAATCGAATTATAAATTATGAAGGCTTATAAGTAGTATTGGCTTTAAATTTGGTCAACTTTTTAAATGTCACTCAGTATTACAAAGGATAAATTTTATCATAAGCCCTTCGCTAAGTAAAATAATTGTTTTTATTATTTATCACTTCCCAAGTTATCACGTGAAAAGGGAAAAAACAAGGTCAGTCAGAGGCCTATTTAAGTTGCTCTACAGTTTATTGATAATATTTGTATATTCCTCTAAAATTTAGTTTTTCAGATATTTATACATAGAAGTATCTATTTTTAAACAAAAAAAATTTATCGTGGATTAGTTCCTAGTGAAATGTTCAAGTTGTCGCCAATGTCCGTCTTAAGTTGAAGTCGGTCGGTTTGGTAGTTGAGGAGGCATTTCGTCAACATGTATTTAACTGTGAACATTACTCCACATGTTAGGCATTGTGTTGGGTCTTTTTTGGACATGAGGAATCCATGGGTCAGTGTAGACGGTTTACCATTATTTCTTCTTATCTCATTGATTTATGACATATAAAACTTGTCGATTAACGAAAATGAATTCTGTCCACTACAAGAATGTAATTGACAAATAATTTTTACATAACCATCACATATATAAAATAACTCATATCCCAACCCTATTCTAACTTGATCATTAATTGTAAGCCCGACAAGTACTTATTTAGGGGGAGTTCATGGGATCGAGTCACTTAAATTTTTATTTTTCAAAATTACACTGTATTTAAGAGCTAAAACTACAATATCGCATATTTTCTTTCAGACGTCCAAAATTAAATCTCGACTACGTGCGTAAAGACCAGCGTTATAATTATAATTAGTGATTCGCAAATAAGAGAGGTCACCCCTACTAAAAAAATGTTTATAATAATCTTTTATAACCTTGATTAATAAAGTACTTTTTAAGTTAATTTCAAAAATGTATGTCATGTTCAGAATAATTAGCACTGTAATTTTGAGTATAAAAATTAAATCTGCCAAGTAATACTATAATTAGCAATAATATTCTAATCATCAATGGTCAACTATTAGAGTGTACCACTTACAAAACGTATATTATTTTGTCATTGTATTTTGAATTTGCACCAAAGAAAAAATATTTAATTAGTAACACATATTACTAAAAATTATAAAATGAAAATGCAAATTTTTAATATCATTCGCGGAGTTGTCATCTCGTGACTCTTGTTCTGAGGGGTCTGGGCAACCCAGTCATATATACGGAGTAAGACCACGAGTTTTATTTATATTAATTTATCCCATTCATAGTTTTATTCATGTTCGTAATTATAATTAATTATAAGAGGATTAAAAAGATCGACGTTTCAGTACAAGATTAAATGTATAATCACATTTTATATTGATTAAAGAGGAATATGCGTACACTCATTTTCCAGTATTAAGTCTTAGCACTGCCAATGATTTAATTTATATTACACAATGCGCATAAGCCATTGTTATTATTATATCCATGACTTTTAAGTAGTACAACATGATCGAACATTAATACACATGCTAAAGTGTTCATCGACACCTAAAACTATAATATTATTCAATACAAGCTCTAAAACTAGAATAGTAACTTGGACGCTTTTAGTTTTTAATTTATCTTATCTAAGGTTAAAATTAAATTACTTAAACAATATCTAAAACACATAAGTAAAATGATGCAGTTCATTTCTTATATAATAATATTTTTTTATAACCCGCAATACTAAATCCAAATTTGGGTTTATTGCTATAATTTTGGAATCTTAAGTTTTCAATTAAAACAAGTAAGACTCATTAAGAAATTTTCTATTATTTTTAAGGAAACTAAAATTTATGCTAAAATATTTCACTATTTAAATTTTTATCCTTCTCATGTACCATTTATCGCGATAAGCCTTTTTTTCATGTAAAATAATTGATTATTGCATTTTCTTATTTTATTTTTTCATTTAATTACTATGCTATTAAGCTTAACAATTTTAATGTAATAAATATTACGTAAAACAAACTTTTAAATAAAAAATATTTATATTTTTATGAATTCATGAATGTGACCATCAAATCGGTCATTAACTGTATTAAGCCCATCGAGTTATTTACAAACTTAACAATTAAATAAATCGTACTTTCACCGCGATAAAAATAAATAATACCTATTTTATACAAGCCTTAGCAGTTCTACATTATTGAAAGTTGAACTTAGAAATATTTCCTATAAATTGGAAATTTTGATTAATTTTTTTAATTCGTAAACCAAATTTTAATGTTATACAAGGGGGTTAGTTTCCCCTTAATAAAAAAGTCCAGTATACTTTATTGATAGCAATATAAAGTACTACTAATTTTAGAAAATTCAAGTTTTAACTTAATAAAATTAAAAACCAGCTGCCAAATTTTTAAGAATGAAATCCGATATTTTCTAATTGAATTAAATTTTGTTCTCGGGTTTATTTTCTATCACTTTTATTATATTAAAATTATATATATACTTAGAATGAATTTCAATCACATTTAATTATTGAGTATCATAATATCAACAAATTTGAAATAATCACTGTAAAATCATTTATTGATAGTTAATTTTACCTTATCATTTAGTTTGCAAAATTGAGTAGATATAGATTTGTTTTAAAACGTCTACTTTACTAAGATACTAAATACACATAGGTTGCTGAATTACTAATATATACATACGTTGAATTGAAAAAGATTATGTTGTAATCGGCAATGATTAGATTAGATTTATGAAGTTAATAATGTAAACATATGTTTATAATAATGTATTGAATAATATCTTGATAGTAATTTAGAATAAACGACACGTTTGATACAGATATTTCGATCATTTTGTGCACATTGCTTATATTAAAAAAATTTCCCACTTATACAACACTATTCTCCTGAAAAACAACAATTTATCCATGTACGATAATTAAACTGCAAACAAACAAAGTGTATTGACAAAAATTTGCAGAATCGTGTTTTAAAAATATTTTGATACCTTATTTAGTACTGACATTTTTTATACCATCTATATTTTTATATTTTTATATTATCTATATTTTTATATTTTTATATTTATATCTATATATTTTATTTTAGAGTAAGATAAAGTTTAATTGACTTAACGTTTTATCAATTAGAGAATTCTAAATCAGTTTTTTAATTTCGTGCGAGTACTATTTGGACAAATATTAACCCAGGCCACGGAATAATGTTTATGAAGTTTTTATAGAAAATTTTATCAAATACGTTTAGCCAAACAAAGATAAATTTACCTTCAGTGATTTGCTAATAAAAATTATAGCGATTTTTAGCAATAATAACAATCGTATAATATATTTTCTACATATTATGTATATCATTAGATTTTGTATATAACGTTGAATATTGGTAAACATTAATTTGATAATAAACTTAAAAAATAAAAGAGAATAATTTGAAATAAAATATTAAGTTTTCTAAATTTCTTTTAAACATTCTTTAATAAAAAAAATTTACACAAAAACTGTTAGTTTAACGAGTAGATTTCATTAATACTCGAGAACCGCGCGACCGACTGAGATTACCAGTAAACTTTATTGGCATTTAAGAGTAAAATTTTTGTATGTTTGAATTTACCTCTAAAATTAGGGCTTTCATATCCTTATTCCAGAATTCTGGTTGGACCGATTGGGCGTCGCAACAGTCATGCCGAGAACAGAGCTTTTGGGTTCTTGACATAGTTGCCGTAGGCATGTATACCGACGGTCACCAATCCAAGGTCGCTCAGGCTTACACCGGTAAATCGGGATGTCTGGAGGTCCATGCAGTTGACTTCACGTGCCAGATTCGTGCTGTTTAACTCGGGCCATGTCCAAGCTGGTGGACACAGTAGTTTTGCGATAATCCGACGCGTGTATCACATTAACGGGCAGAACATCGTACTCTGATCCTTCTTTTTCAGTCGCTCGGTGACTCCATGGTTCCAATTGGTGCTTTGCCGTGTACCTTAACCTACCGCTTGAAACAATTAATGGTGGCGGGTTTTTGCAATCCTTCTTAGGATGGTTTCCACAACACCGGTTTGTGAAGAGCTACGGTGGGTTCTGGTTTATAACTTTGTCGCACGGTCCTTTTCGTTATAGCGACAGGTATATAGCTTGCAGTACGGTTTCCGGAAATGGTAACTCTCCGAGCCGTCGTCTCCGGAGGCCAGGGAACCAATCCAAACCCCTCCCCCATGTCAAAAAGTATTTATAACTCTTTTAAGGGTAATATTGGTAATTATCTATTAACATCATCGTGTAAATTGCATAATTTATGTAAAGTTTGGTAAAATTAAACAGTAAAAATTTGTAACTATTTTATAGAATATTTTTTTTATCACCAAACACGTTTTATGATTATTGATGCACAACAATTGCATCAATTACAGCATCTAAAAACTCTGATCTTCTTTTGATAAAAATTCCTTGATAAAATAATAATTTATCAAGGTTTACATATGACGACGACGTATGGGATTTTTTATTAACTTTGAAAATAGGTCATTTTTACAAAATATAATGAAACATTTAATCAATTAAATAAATAAACGTAAATTGAACTCAAATATAAAACATGGTATTTGTTCATAAAATTTGTAATTGTTTTTTTATTAATCTAGTATAAATATTAAAAATCACCAATATTCGACTGTTTTTTTTATCTATAAATTTCAATGCTATTCTTATTTGGTCAATATTAACCAATAAACATAGTTCAAACAAGCATTGTTATCACAAGAAATGCAGAAAAGCTTCGTTCAAGTTAATTAAGTTAAAATCTGGTTTCTAGTTGACATATAGTTATCAATATGAGATAGTTTTGAACAAACAGAAATTGTTGTTAAGTATCAATATTAACAACGGGTCAAGTATTGCACAATTACTGGCAACTGACCATTGGCCTGCCCATACTATCGTAAAACTGACAAACGTCTTGTCTAAATACTGATCTATTGGATCAGTATTTAATTATTGACAGTGATTATTGACAAGTACTGACAGTAATGGCAGTTAGTACTTGGCTGCCATTGCTAGCAGAGTACTAGTGTAATACAAGTTATACAAAACCCTCAGTACTGATCTGTCAGTATGGAAAAACATAAAAATTCCAGACATATGCCAATATACTGACATATGTCTGAGATAATGACGAATAAGTTCGCACAGTATTTGTAACCGCTATTGTTAATTTATGATTGGTTTAAAACATGAAAATGGCGATTACTAGGATCGCTATTATTTTTATTTTAATACTACCCATGTAGAAAATATGTAAGCGAGTTGGGTGAAATACGCCTATACACCCATTTCTCAAAACAATTTAAAAAATATGAAATTTTACAAATATTTTAATTTTGATTAGAGCACATTCTTTTCATTAAAATTACGCGTTTATAAGTAATAAAATTATGTTAAAATAGTAGGGTGGCTAATTACCTTATTTATTCTTCTAAGTCGTTTATCTTTCAGTTTTGACTAAATATTATTTCATTAATTTCCCTAATATCTTATCATCAAAAAATATCAATGAAATTGATTTGAATAAAAAAAAAAATGCGCTTTAAATGATTAGATATAACGATAGTTTTAGGTAATGTATAAAATTTTAATGTGTTTCAAATCAATAATTACTTTTTTATTGAAAATTATTAATAACGAGTTGATTATTTATAATTATATTTTTTAACATTCCTATATGATATTAAATTTTAAGACTACATTTAATACTCACCCTTACTTTATAAATAGTCCAAATTGACCTGCAAAAATAATGTACTAATTTTTCTTACATCAAATCAATATTTTAAAACATTGTATTATCATGAATACATGGGTCAATAAACAAATATTCTGTTATCAATTAACAAAGTAAACAATAAATATATCATACTGAACCACAGTTATTCGAACTGACGCAAGATGTTCATAATGATGTTTGTAAATGTTTTTATCGTTAGACTTTTTTGCCACGCAGTTAACGGCAATAATCGATAATGAACTGATAAATATAAAATTCAAGGTTTGCTTCGACCCCGAAGCTACGTTATATTATATAATATTAAAATAGTAAGTATTATTATAATTTATATTTACTATATTTATTGATTGTGATTCATAAGCTATGGAAATATGAAAAGAAGAATAATTTACTTAAGTAGGTATAACTATTTTCATATGGCCTAATGAAATTTCAAAATACTTGAAATCTTGCACACCAAAAAAAACTGAAATGACGCCCCTGTGTTTGAATACATAATACAATTTAGTATTATTACAAATTTTTGTTAGTAATGTAAAAACTTTGATTTCACAAATGTGGAGTTCGGTATTAAGGACATTATTAACGTTTCAATTTATTTCGTTGTCGTTCTTCAACACGTTTTTGAATCGTTTTTTGAAGAAGTTATGGCACTTTTAAGTAAAAAAATTGAATAAATGTCGAAAATAAGCGATTTTTAAATTTGTAATTTTTTTGGAGACTTCCCCCATTTATGAGAAACTAGAGAAATTTTTTCCTTTTTTTGAGGGTAATGTCTTCGACTAGATACGATTTGTGATCTTTTGACGTATCGTTAAAAGAAATCGGTTCGGTGAGAGCTGAGAAAAAGTGGTAACAGACAATTATAAAAAATAAAAACACATCAGTAAAATTAATACTTTTTTCAACTTCGCATCGAAGCTAAAAATAAATTTATTTATCAAAACAGTTTTGTAATATTTATAATTGTACCCCATTTATCATGTTAAGGCAATAAAAGGCATTGCACTTCAAAATTATCTATATAAAATACTACTTTTAAAATATTACTTTTGTTTAAAAAAGCTTTTATTTTTCTTAAATTGTACAATTACGAATAATATAACTGTGAAAATGTCATTTTGGAAAACAATATAATTATTTGCTATTAGCAAATGTTTTTTAGTTAAAATTAATATGTGTGTGAAAACTTACAACACATGTAAATAATATATGTACAAGACATATACACTAATATGTTTTCACGTCATGACTGTTCAATGAATTCGTATCAAAATAGTTAAAATTATTGCAAAAGTAAATTTTTATGAAATAATTCTTATTTATTTTAGTTAAATAACCAAAAATATATATCTAAAATTTATCATTAAACAAACGAACTTTGGTCTAATTTCTAAGAAAATTTTGATATGAAATAAAAAGTTGTTTGCTAAATAAAAATATTTATCTCTTAATTTTGTAGATATTTAAAGCGAAGAAAAGTATTTTATTAATTAACTCAAAATTTTAAGTGCAAAAAAATTTACTTAAATTAAGGATAAAAAATGATGATAAATTTTAATGAAACAAACATTTTTTATTATTTAACATTATGTCTAATTTTTTTTATTACTACAAAATCAAAATAATAATAATTAACTTTTCTGGAGGTTAAATAAAAGTTTGTAGATCAAGTTCTCATTTATGACCTTTGGATGATTACAATTTTGAACTATAGACTATTTACACATTATTTAGCTCATTACTTAAAGATAAATAACGAATTGATTTATATGTAAATCGTTTGGTCAGTAGGTTGATAATTCATATATTTTATATAAATAAATACATTTCAAGTTATCGTCGAATTTGGTTTCCGTGATACCAAATAAGTTTCCAGTTGAAAGATTATCTCAGGGGTGGTTTGAAAGATTTTGCCCTTTAAAGGACAAAACCTGAAAGATGTTAAAAAAAAATTTGCCGACCCAGGAAATGACTTATGTTTTGCTCATCAATTCAATTATTTGTGACAAATTTAAACATTTGGGTGATTGAAGGGTCCAAATGTTATAAATCCCTAATTTTTTTTTAGTTTGAAGCCCCTCAATCAATTAACTTAAATTATTATTATTTGTCTATAAATTATGAATATGTTTAGCTATTTGTTGTAAAATATGAAAAATAAAATATTTTTTTTTCAAATCAATCAAGTATTAAAATATTAAAAAATAATATTGTTTATAGTCATACAGCATCTTCTCAGGTGCCGTCACTTTTCGGTCGTTGGAATATTTATCACTTTAATATAAAACAGTCAGTGGCGTGCTCGGGGGGAGGGGTCATATCCCTCCCAATTGCGTTTTTTTTTCCACCATCGAGTACCTAACAGCAATAATTGAATAAATTTGTAATTATTACATTGTATATTTATATAACAATATTACATCATATCATACAAAACACAAAATATTAATAAATATTTTAATGAGGCTTGACCTCTAAAGCCCCCTTATTAATCTTTTTCTAATTCTTTCACCCCCATTAGATGTATTTAGTTGTATTAATACCTATTAGTTATGACATCCCTCCCCATTTAAAATTCCTGGGCACGCCACTGAAAACAGTAACACAGCTAGGTCGTCCTTGTATCATCTTAACATATTTTTTAGGACGATTTATTAAGATAACTTAAGTTTTTATGGACATATGTTTATTATAAAATCGTATAAATTTCAGGAATTCTTTATTGAATGGTTTAGTGTTGTATCAAATTTTTTCAAAAACTTCAATTACACTACATATTATTTTAATTTATTTTTTTATCTATTTAAAAACAACGAGTTTAATTTTAATGAAATTAAAAATTAAGTAGAGTTTATGATTTCCTCCTAAATTCCGTCACATTATTAGTAATTTATTTTTAATATTTTAATTAAAATTAAAAAAAATTTTCTGTTAATTAATTTATTTGATAATAAAGATTGGCCAGCTCGATGAATTTTCTCAGATAAAATTTCTTATTATTAAACTAATGCATCCCAAAAGTTTCAAAAAAAAAAAAATATATATATATATATATAATAAGCGTGTAACTAGAGGGATTTTAGTAACCTAACTTTATACAAAAGTAAAAAGCTTAGCTCTTTTTCAAATTACACACAAGGTAATTTTGGTGAATGACTATTATTTGTATTGTTCTTTGCAGGTAGAACGTTGAAAACATGTTTAATAAGCTTATATTGCATTTTAATATTTAAACATTTTATTTGAGAATAATTGTGACGTATCTCTCTCTATATACTAGTTTACTAATAATTTTCTATAATAGTATTGAATTTTTTTCCTAAATATTTACTTTGATAATAGATAAACAATAAAATATTTCAATATTTCTCTGAAATGCTCTAGCTTTACCTATCTACAGTTCTATAACAAAAAATTTCATTTTTTTATTGTATGTTTTCTATTTATAGCTTTTAACATTGAAATTATCCCATTATAGAATTAATTTATTATACTTTATTTTAATCAGATGATAATATCAGAAAATAGATTCAAATTAATGAATAATTTCTTTTATTAATAAACAACAATAACATATTAAAATATACATTAAGTTTTCAGAAATTAACATTTTTTTCTATAAACTTAATGATCTATAAATAAAGTTAAATTTGTGACCATTGAAATAGAACCATTTGCTAGTAACAAATTTATTTCATAAAATATCTTTTGTAAGCATAATTTAATTGTTCCATGTAAATGAATAGCAAAACAGTAGCTGGTGCTATTCGCATGTAATAAAACGGTAATCCTTTCCATAAGGCAGTTATACCTTCACTTTTTACTAGTTTTCTGGAAGCATCCAACATATTTAAATACTCGCCTTTACCGTTGACAAAAGTTTGTTGTTGAATCCTAAAATGGAAATTTAAACAATTTATACTTTAAAATTGTTTGATCATTTTAATATATCAAAAATCATGTTTAAAATTTATCGTTATATAATTTATTGTTTATACAAAGTGTACCCTATAATATTCATCTGTACAAACAATTTTTTTTTAATAGATCAGTTAGTATTACATCTACAATGAGGAAATAAGCTCTGAAAGAATTTTGGTGTAGGAATTAAAATGCTAACCACTTATTATCGAATTATTTTTCACTTTAATAATAGAATTTAACTCTCATTAAAGTAAACGTTCACCTTGTCTTTAGCACATCTATTGGACAACTGCATACAGCATATACAACGCCAGAAATCATGCTAGAAACGGTATGTAGGACTAATCCTTCTTTCATATCATCTAAAAATCATCAAATCCTAACTTCAAAGGTTGGCTAATTTTTTTATTCATTATAATTATTTTAAAATAAAGATTAAGGTTGATTTATTTCCTACTGAGTCTGATAAATTAATATACAATTGTTGAAGTCAAGTGATCACTATTGAAATCCTTAAGGTAATTGCTCAAAGGCTTCTTTTTTATAATTATCTTTTCAAGAGAAATTTATTATTATTTATTAGAGCGAGATGCTATTTTATGAATTTAAATAAAATTTTAAACTTATCAATGAATTATTTGAATAACACATATTCAACTTTATAATTTTGTGGAGGGTAACAACATCCACCCTATGCCCTTTCATACACCTTTACGATCAGTGTCTGATTTTAATAAAATATTTACAATTTTTTTTTTCAAAAAATATTTCAATAAAAGTAGAATAAACACATGACAGGGAGTAGATCATAATCGGATGTCATTATTTTTTTCTATAAGAACTAAACAATAAAAATGTATGTTACAGCTTTTTTTAAAGAATGTTTTAGCGTAGTCGTAAGACATCAACTGCGTAACATTTGATATCATTGCCTTGGTCACAGTTGGTACAGTTCCCCTCCATAGACCAACCATCCCTTCTTCTTTGCCAATCCTTAATAATGCATCAAACACATGCTTATAGTTGCGTTTCTTATCTGGAGGTAGTCGACCGTCAGCTGTCATTCGTACGACAGCCACCTTAAAGTTTAAGTATGGTCCATGTGCAGAAAAAAAAATTAAAATTTGCAATAAATCTATAAACTCTTGTGTGGGATGTATAATTAGTTTCTTATAATTAACAAAATTTTCACTGGCATAGGAGATTTATAACTTACATCAGCAGGAGTAGAGATCAATGCTGCTAGCGCTCCAGTTCCACTACTAATTAATAGTTTATGATAAACACTTGTAAATCCTCGCCTTAAAAACACACAAACATTACTCCGATTAGTACAGCTTGTGTAAATACAATAAGCGGCGATCGAATAAAAACTTAATAAGTAAAAAAATTAGTTTTTGTTGTTCATAGGTTATTAAAACCATAATATTCCTTTATCCAATCATTATTAAAGTAATATTACAAAAATAGAACTTCAATATTCTTAAATAGTAAAAGAATTTTTAATTTCTGAATAATTAAATATGACGAAGATGGTAACTATCATTGGCACAATAAATAGTTTTTGAAAATACGTTTGGTACGCCATCAATTAGTTTTTTTGGTTAACTCTAGAAGTTTTTATGGAAACTAATTTTTTTCCAAACTATATAAGGTTTTCACTGTTAGTAAACTTTTTCTTATATTTGAATTTTCTGTATAAAATCAGTAAAAAATTACTAAATTATTATTATAAGGAATGTCAAATACAAGAGAATTATCAATAACTAGTACGGTTATACTAGATTTTTTTTGTCTTTTACCTAATTTCTACTGAAATATTTATATTTCCTTAATTATTTTTTATTTTTTACTTGTTCATTTTTTCTGACACAGTATTGTATGCGCCAATTCTTGTTGACGTATTTGCTATTTGCCTAGTCAAATTTGCTGATAGACCCTTGTAAAATCCCGACATCTTTTCGTTCCTAAGTATATTTTTTATTGCTTCAAATGAATTTTTATGATCAACAGCTGCACCTTTCTCACCACTCAATTGCATACGAAACTTAAGCAAATCCAATGGATGCACCATAGCAGAAGCTGCCATACTGAAAACATTGAATTTAAATATTTGCGAAAATTCGTACTACTTTATCACAACGACCATGAGAGTCTTTAAATTCTCTTTTTAAATTATTACAATAATTAATACTATGATGTCGTCTTTGGCCTACCCAGAAAGTCCAGCAATAATAAACTGCACAGGAGAAGGTATGGTTTTCTTACTAATATCATCTGTCATTTTTTCTTAGATCTGCACTATTTTTCACAGTTAAGACATTACTTTGAATGAAAAAAGTGTAAATTTATTGCACATTTTAATAACTTTAACTAAATATCATATTAAATTGTTTATTAAAAGTTAACATTTTAAAAATATATTATGTGATGATTATACTCATGTTTAAAAAAATTTGAGCCAAGATAAATTTTATCGAAAAATAAATTATTTTTTTTTTATGTCAAAATAAAATAACTATAAACTTATTTGATGATTTGTAAGTAAAATAGTGTAAATTTTTTTGTTTCATTGGTAAGTGCAAATAAGTAACTTCAGAAATACCTTTTAGCAGTGCTCGAATTGGGGGGGTGCGCAGGGGGACGTAGCTCCTCTACTTTTTTTTAAATTTTTTTGCGCACCCCAACTACTTTTTTTATTGTGACGGGAGGACGGTGGAAAATACCACCTCTTTTTTTTTTTTTTTTAAATATTAGTATGATAATGAATTATGATTTATTAATAAATACTAAATAAAGTAATGAGTAAAAAAAAAAAAAAGGCTTCAAAATACTAGGGACGCAGTTTTCAAATTGTTAAGTTGAGCTCCCCTACTTATTTTTGGCCAATTCGAGCACTGCCTTTTAGTAAACCTATTAATACACAACTACCAAGTTTTTTGTGTGTATCGGTCAATGGTATTTCATAGTTGTTCAGTAAAATATTATACTGGCTATTATGTAAAATCATTGGTATGATGATGCATATCAACAAAAGTGTCAATAATTAAGCACTCATCACGAAAATATTAAGGCATTGTTTTAAATGACCCAAATACCTAGCAAAATTAGCCAATTCATAGATGAAAAAAAATCTTCAACCACCAACAAAGATATTGAGTCAGAAAGTTCTGACTATTCAATTATACTCAAAACCGTTGATATCACCGAATCTTTTTCTAGTAAAGATCTTGCGACCAATGAGTTAAAAAGTTTAACTGGTTCATTAAAAAAATCAATGGAAAACGTTTTTGAAAAAAAATTGAGCTTGTCCGAAATAATATTAGATAAGAATGATGAAAAAGTGAGACCAAATAGTTTAACATCTTTAACAGAAATTTTGAAAAAGTCAAGAATAGACAAAAATAATTGTTTAGAAAAATAGAATGATCCTAAGCAAGCTTTAAACCTAATCAACTCCATGAAATGTTCAAAAAAATTCTGATAAATAAAAATCTAATAAATAATAAAATAAAAACATTTTAGCCAATGTTTTTATAAAAACAAATTTTTTTATTTTTTTGAATTGTGTATACATTATTAAATAACTTTAATTAAATATAAATAATCAGTATAAATGTAATAATAATAAAAAGTGGGATAAATGTAAATGAATAAGGTAATTATCTCTTAGAATATTTAGCAAATTTTATTTTAGATTGAAAATTTTTGATCCCTATATATGTTACTATTATATTAAATGTAAGTTTGAAATATAAACTTATGAATTTATCTAAAAAAGATGTATTTACCCAATTCCATCCTATAGTTAACAATTTTCATTATTTTTAATAACTGTTTCAATGTCATAAATTTATGTTGAAATGATGTCTTTATTATAATATTTAAAGATAAATTTACTATCTAAAATATTTTAATACTGTTTTTTAAATAGTTAAATTTATAAATATGGTCAAAAAATAATTTTGTAACAAATCAAATTATGATTTATATCTGTAGTTATAATTTTGCAATTTATCATACATACAAATTAACAATCTTTAAATTAATTAAGTTTTAATTTCTTTTTTAAAACTTTAAATATTCTTGTAAAAATTGAAATTTTATTTTTTTTTAATATAATAAGATGTTTAATATATAAACAAATTGTTTTTCATCAATTTTTCTTTATAATCTTTTATACGTATTTTTCATTCATAAATAACCTGAGAAAAGTAATATTATGGTTACACTCTGTTTATTCTAATAATTTAAACTTTAACTGTACTATTATAGTTTTTTATTATTTAAACTTAATTATATCTATTTAAAATCTCTCTACACGTATATAATATGAAAGTTAATCATGTCATTCAATACAGAATTAGATTTTATTATAGCAATTTTTTTCCAAATAACAGTTTACTTGCTATTGGCAATTTTTAATTAATTTTTTTTAAATAATAACGTTAAAACAAATATTTGAAAATATTTGTACTTTTAAATTATGGATCAATTTTCAAAAAACCAATGAACAGCTATATTATGACTAAACGTCTCCAAAAAAATATTCGTCGAACAAAAACCACACAAATATACATTTTACTGATAATATAATAGGTAATATTTTAAAACAATTCAATAGTTTATTATGAACACTGTTCATAGTAAAGATGACGCATATAGTCTGACAAAAAGCATCCCACAACTCAATATTTTGATTCTATTATAATACAACTTAGGTAGTACAATATGCATATGTTTAATACAGTTTGTGTATGCTGTATAATGTTTATACATTTTAAACTTCAAATCATTGCAAGCAATTCCGTTTTAGGCTTGACAAACCAACGCAAACATTATCTATTATATTATTTTGTGCACATTATGACAACGTAGGCGATGTATAATATTTCCACCTATTTTTGAAGGTTATATTTAGCACAAAACACTAATATTTATTATCTTGCATATATTCCACTTAAAATCAGTTTCATTTTTAATCAATGTCGACTAACCATTTATGTACTAATAAATTGCTAAAGTTATACACTAATTGTTATAAAGTTCTTTTTGTTAAACATTGTTTAATGATATTTAGTGAATTGAAAAAAATATCCCTTTGTTTACTTGTTAAAATTGTGGGTGCACGAGTAAAAACTCATTAAGTGAAAGTTAAATTAAGTTAAAAATGTTTTTATTGCATAGTCTTAAAGATACATAAAAGACACACCAAACAAAAAGAGAAAACTTTAATTTTAATGTTAGATTTAAACATCTATTTTAAACATCTCATGAATTAATCGTGCCTCTTTCTTTCCCAAAAAGTCATAATTTATGTCATATACCCCTTTATAAGCAAACCGTTCAAATTTGAAATACTTATATTTCGCAAGGATTTTTTCGGTTGGAATTTTCAAATAATTGACATATTTTAGTAACAAAATAAAAGTAAATTTGATAGAAACAATGTAATATAAATTGAATTACATAAAAATAGGGGTGTAGCATTAAATATTTCATATAATTAAAATATAAATTGACTTTATCTTTTTACATCAAAAACAAATTACTGCTGATATCAAGAATTTTTCAAAGCGATTTTATAGCTTTAAAATCTGCCTAGCTTGAGAACCACTTTTACTGATAATATAATTTTGTTAATAGCTTTGAACTAGTAAACATATTTGTGTATAACCACCTGCAGCTTCTGGTGATCAGCTGCTCAGCCCTCATACCAAAGACACATTATGTGATGTTCTGTATTGCGGACTAGTCGTCAAAACTCGATTATTGCACACAAATTTATTGTTTGTCCGCCTACCATAGAGTGACTAATAGTTGTATATTCATTTAATAAATCTCATAATGTAATTCAAAATGATTATTCAACGAGTGTTCCTTATTTAACTGCAGTTATGTTNGAACTCGATTATTGCACACAAATTATTGTTTGTCCGCCTACCATAGAGTGACTAATCGTTGTATATTCATTTAATAAATCTCATAATGTAATTCAAAATGATTATTCAACGAGTGTTCCTTATTTAACTGCAGTTATGTTATATCTTAAGATAATTTGTTTATTTGAAATTTTGTGTTTAATTAATTATATTAACACTTCTTCATTAGATGTAGATTTGAATATCCACTCGAATCACTTACCGTATGTATTATTCTCTGAAAAATCTCAGAATCACAGTAATCCTTTAAAAGTAATTTTGTTATGAGTCATTTTGAAAAAAAAATCTATATTATAATTATACATTTTAAATTTGATATTTTTAGCATTGTTGGGGATATGAAGAAAATTGTAGTAGACAATATCGCTTCTCTGAACCAAATTGTCCAGGTTTTCAAACTGGCTGGGCATCATCCAAAAGTGAACAAATTGATACATTTTATAATCAAGGTGATTTTGGATATGTAAAGCAGCAAAAAGAAAAACTTACCTTTATGTGTGAACCTACTGATCAGGTAATTTAATAAAATTAATTTTATTAACTGATTATAAAAATAAACAAATTTTCATTAACTATAAAAATATGATAATTTGAGTGTTTTTTTATGAATTATATTTCTTTAGAATTTAAATTATATAATTCTCCCAATCAATTTTTTTTTTACAAAACATCATATTAACACATTAAATTTATATTTCTATTAAAATAAACATATGGTTGAAATAATTAAAAGGAATACGTACATTATTCATTAGATTAGTAAAATAAAAATATTATATATCATAGATTATTGATACTAAAGTATTAAAGATTAAAGTTTTTAATTAATTGAGTATGTCGCATAATTCAATAATATTACTATACTTATTTTCATAAATTTAAAAATAACTAGTGATAAAAACTATAAATGTTATAATTTGCTGATTAAATATCAAAGATTTCTTAAGTATATAAATAGCCTGGTAAATTAATTTTCATGTATTTAAAATGTAAAATGTACATTTATTATTTAGGGTGATTCCTCTTTACAATGCTCTAGTCATTTACAATTTTGTCGAGGTCATAAAATTATGATTGACTTCAAGAATATGCTAAATTATGATCGACCTGTACGGTATAAAATGGATATATTAAGTCACGGACAAATTGGAGGGAAATGCAAGTATGATGTATAAAAATTATTATGAAATTATTCTTTTATCATTATTTTTAAAACATCAAATAAAGTCTGAAAATGTTTACATAGGTTTTATAAGAAAAAATTAGATGATGAGAGTGATCATCTTGGTGCATTACAATCTTGGAGCCCTGAATTAAGATTTTTTGCAACTATAAATAAATATCCAGGAAAATGTGATTTAATTATTTCTAAACCAACATTTATTATGAAAATAGATGCAAGTGTGTAATAAGCATGTCTAAATATTTTATAGGTTTTGATATTATTTGCTCTAATTTATTGAATTTTTCTTTATTTCAAAAATTTTATTGCTATAAGTGTTAATGAAAACTCAACATTTTAAAATGCTATAATTAGTGACATTTCAAAATAAAATACTTATTATTGGCATAAAAGATAGCCCTCAGTTTTTTCATACATATATTTCATACCTTAGATCATTAGTTCATTTGTGTACTTGATTATTCATTTCTTTTACAAACTATCAGTGAGAATCTTTATTTTTTTTAATTTATAAATCATTGTATCATTAACCGAATAGACATAGAACATATAATAATAAACTTATACAGAATGATTCATTAATGATTAGACACTCATTTTCTTTGTAATTTTTGAAATTATTTTATTTTTATAAAGAAAAATATTGTTTGATTTAACAAATTGTACAATTATATATTGTTAAAGAACATTTTTTGTATCAGGGTTAAAAAACCTAAAATTTAATTTTCTTTAATAACAACCCCAATTTTTAGTTAGGTGATTTGATTGAAAGTCTTTTTATCTCATTATGTATTGATAATTTGTTGTTTATCATATAGTAGTCATCATATTTTCATGCTGTTACATAGACAAATTTTGCAAGAAAAAATATCGGTAATAATTTATGACCCATTGAAATAAATTATTTTTGTCTTTAGTATTCTGAAAACTAAATTAACATTTTGTATTTTAAACAATTTTAAAATGTTAACAGTTGATCAAATAAAAAAAAAAAAATTTCTGTCATTTCATCAAACTAAAATAGGGTTTCTAATTAAAGAAAATTTTTTTTAACCCTATAGGGAAGCAAAAAAAAAGTAATTTAACTAGTGACTATTGTAGAGTATTATAATCAAACAATTTTTTCTTTTCTGTATATTTGAAATATTCAAAAGTTTTCAAAATAATGGGCGTCTTTCCTTTATAAATCACTCTTTATTTTTGGTATTTACATATGCTATATGTGATTTATCTGTTAATTATATGTTCAGAATCTATTGCAAAGAAAACACTAAGGTAGTTGGTTACCCTTCCTGTTTTTTAGTAGTCTATGAAGCTTAAGTTTAGTGCTGATGAGTTTTAATTTTTCTTTAAGTTGTAAAAATAGTTTATTAGTATCTTTATTAAAAAATTTTGAATACTATAAAAAAAAAAACATTGTAATAAATACAATACTTTCTTAGCTACACATTAAAACTAAAATTAAATCACATATCTGTGTTTAAAAATCTTGTAATTATAAGCTATGATTTCGACTATACAATTATTTTACAAAAAAAAAACTTTATAATTATTAATACATAATTTCTAATTAATTGTTTTATGTTAAGTTATAATGTGTAAAAATGTTTTATTTATTTTGTAGCTGTCAACATGTATCATCATTTTTGTGATTTTTTGAATTTATATGCTTCACAACATGTAAATTCATCTGATTCTACCTTGTTCTCTAAAGATGTACATATTTTGATCTGGGAATCATATCCATATGAATCAGCTTTCAGTGATACTTTTGCAGTATTTACTAATCATGCCATATGGAACCTTAATACTTTTAAAGGACAAGTTGTTTGTTTTGACAATTTAGTTTTACCATTGTTACCTAGAATGATATTTGGCTTATTTTATAACACACCACTGGTAATTATACATTTAATATTTTTCCAACAATTTTTACATGGTTCTTTGTATTATAACTATTCAAAAGTTATTTTTTGCTTTAAATTAATGTATATTTACATTTTTTTTGTATATTATTGTAAATTTTTTTTATTAATCAACTTTAATGATATAAAAACATGATCTCATATGTTTGTAAAAGGCGTATATATAAGTTTTAGAAAAACATTTAATGATATTGTTTAGTTAAATATTAAAATAATTAAATTACATAGGATTTTCAAATTTTAATTTATTTAAAAAAAAATTAGATTGAAGGCTGTGAAAAAAGTGGGTTATTTAAAGCATTTTCTGAACATGTGTTACATCGTCTAGAAATCAGCCGAAAAATAACTTTTAACGAAAAAATAAAAATAACATTTTTATCAAGAAATACAAGGTATAGAAATGTAATAAATGAAAATGAGTTAATTTTGGCATTGAAGAAAAATTCAGATTATGAAGTCAAACGAGTATGTATTTAAATAGAATAATATATTTCATGTCATTTTTAGTATAAATTATTATTAATTTTTTTTTTATTATCTTTACTGATATATTATTCTATAAAATATTTTACTTGTTATTTAGGTAATTTACAGTGAAAATTATCTTAGCTTCAAAAAACAAATACTCAGAACACATAACTCTGATATTTTTATTGGTATGCACGGTGCTGGATTAACACATTTGTTATTTTTACCTGATTGGGCTGTAATATTTGAATTGTAAGTAATTTATATTCACATCTCAGTCTACAAAATAAATTATATTTATAGTATATATACAATAATAAGTATATTAATGCCTTGTATAAGTGAATAAAAGGCATTAATAATTTTGGTTCATAAGGAGCATTTGTACCTGGTAACAAATTTTAACGCACAGGAAAATTAAAATTTACATTTAGGGACAGTTATTCATAAAATAAAAATAGTAAAAATTATATCCTAGAGGATGGAATAACCTTTAGTAAGGTTCTGAGTTACAAATATAAATATAATATTATAATAATAGCAATAAATAATATTTATTTTATACGTGACTTAAGGAAAAGTTAAATTTTTACATAGTTTTATAATTAATATTTTTAAAATATCACTTATTCAAAATTGTTTGTGATCTTTAAGCATTATCTTATATTTAATATTATTATTATTGAAATTAAAAACAGTTATTATTTTATTTATTTCGATAAAAGAAGATGATGGGATTTTCAAATATTTTCTATGTGTAGGATATATAAATAAATGTAATTTTAATTTAATAAATTTTTAAAATTTATTTTTTCAGATATAATTGTGAAGATGAACATTGTTACAAAGATTTATCACGACTTAGAGGAATCAAATATATAACTTGGCAAGATACTAATATGTTAACTATTCATGATGAAGTTAGTTAAGACTTATTATAAGTATTATTTTTTATTAATTAAGCTTGTACCAAGTCTCAAGTAAATATATAGTTTTTCAATGAAAATAACATAATAAACATTTTATTTTTTATTTACAAATTTTTACTTTATTTAAGCTCACTACTTGAAAAATTTAAATGAAACAAATTGGTTAAATCCAAGAATATTTACTTTTCTTAAATCTGTACCTTGGGTTAAGACGTTTCAATATATAAGTTTTTATCTACAAAAAAAAAAAACTTTTTACCTTCAAATAACTGCTATAGAATTCTCAGTAACATTATTTAAGTTTTCTTTAGTAGAATGAAAGTTCTTTTTTAGATATTACTCAGATGGTATTACATACATACTTAATTGTTCTACAGAATTTATTTAAAATGAAAAAAAAAAATTTATTATTGTAGATAGTCTTATCTTGACTCAAGGTACTGAAATTATTCTCTATGGAAAAACTTATTTTTTCTTTTTTTAGATTATAAATAATTATTTATCTTAAAATAAGAAAGTATTACTATACTTGCTTGAAGTGCTTGAGGATATATCGATGTTTGCAGTTGAGTTCTGACGTTTTGGACTCAACTGCAAACATGGATATATCCTCAAGCACTTCAAACAACAAGACAATCCATGAAAGCTTTAACACATTCATAATAAGGTATTACTATACATTAAACATGAATACAAGTGTTATATATATTTTTTGAGTTAAAAATTAAAAATTTCAGTTATTTTTATTTTTATCAACCTGTGGATAAGGGATAAGAATACTTCCACGGTCCATCTGCCAGTCGTAAGAGGCAACTAATGAGGTTGTGTCAGATCGATAGCCGGCGTAAAAAGCTTTGTCAAAAAAAGTATGAGGATTCCTGAACAAAACTTAGGCGGATTGTCCCATCTCGGATGTACGCGGGGACAACAGAAAGTAGTTAAAAACGGAGAAGGCCTAAGGAATAAAGTGTTTGATACCAGCCGGACATCTTGTGCGGTTGCTGTTTCACCAGTCATGTGTACAGGTCTACCCAATACATGTAGTGTCAACGGTGTAGGGACATCACCACTTAACTCTAGGCTGACTCGTGTATAAGGAAGAAAGATAGATACAAAGTAAGAATAGGTAATTGGAATGTTGGAACATTAACTGGTAGAAGTAGAGAATTAGTAGAAATTTTTGAAGAGGAGAAAAGTTAACATTTGTTGTGTGCAAACTAAGTGGAAAGGAGAGAAATCAAGGGAAATAGGTGAGGGTTATAAAATAAAATACTTAGGTAAGTCTAGTACAAAGAATGGTGTAGGGATTTTAATGGATGAGGAAATGAAAAGTAGAGTAACAGAAGTAGCTAGAAAAAGTGACAGAATTATGGTCGTAAAATTGATATTCGAAGAAAAAGTGCTGAATGTAATAAGTGCCTATGCACCACAAGTAAGAAAGTAAGAAAATGTAATTCTAAGTATAGCAAAAGAGCAAAAGGAGAGAAGACTGGATGGAGTATAAACGCTTGTGCAAAGAAACCAAGTGTGCAGTAAGTAAGACAAAGTTTAAGAGGTATGATGACTAGGAACAAAGGAAGACAAGAGAAATCTATTGACTAGTAAAAGAGAAAGAAGGTCTTATAATTATCATTATGTATAAAGGTGTATAGAAAGTGTTGATAATAAGGTACACTCGAATAATGTGATGTGAAAAAAAGGTGGAAAGAGTATTTTGAAAAATTATTGAATGAGGAGTACCCATAAGAGACATTAGAGCATATCTCGTGGAATGAGGGACTGGTAGATTTAATTAGTGAGAAAGAGATATGGAAAGCTGTGGCATCAATGAAAAAGAATAAAGCTGTAGGACCAGATGAAGTATGGAAAATATTAGGCAGCGTGGGCATAAGGTAGTTGAAAAATCCTTTAAATAAAATCTTATTAAAAGAGAAAATTCCAAATGAATGGAGGAATAGTATTGTGGTGCCGATATTTAAAGGTAACGAAGACATACAGGAGTGTGAGAATTATAGAGGCATAAAGCTTATTAGTCATAGTATGAAAATTTGGTAAAAGGTAATAGATAAGAGTATAAGAAATGAGACATTGGTATCTTAAAACCAGTTTGGATTTATGCCTGGTAAGTCAATAATAAAGCCATTAATTTGTGTGAGGCAACTTATATAAAAGTTTAGAGAAAAGTAGAAAAAGCTGTGTATGATATTTATAGATTTGGAGAAAGCATATGACATAGTAACGAGAAAGGTTTAAAAGTGGGCATTGATGAAAAATGGAGTCCCGAAAAGGTACATTAATATAATAGAGGATATGTATTATGGCACTTGTACCAGGGTAAAAAGCGTAGGAGGAATATCAGAAGCTTTTCGGGTAAGAGTAGGAGTGCACCAAGATTCTGCTCTAAGCCAATACTAATTTTCTATAGGAATGGATGAAATTACTAGAGAAATACAAGGAGAGGTGCCATGGTGCATGTTGTTTGCTGACGATATAGTATTAATAGGAGAAAATAGGGAGGAAATTAACCAAAGGCTAGAGGTGTGGAGATCAGCTCTTGAAGAAAAGGGTTTAAGAATAAGTAGAAGTAAGACAAAGTATATAGAGTACGAGTTTGACAAAGGAGAAATGAGGAGTTCAGTGACAATAGGCGAGGACCCATAGGAGAGGTGGAGAGTTTTAAGTATTTAGGATCAGTTGTGCAAAAGAGTGGTGGTATTGACGAGAATGTAAGACACAGAATTAAGTGCGGGTGGTTAAAGTGAAGAGAAGCGTCTGGCGGCGTCTTATGCGATAAAATAATTCCAATGAAGCTAAAAGGTAAGTTTTACAAGACTGTAATAAGGTTGGGTTTGGTTGGGCGGTTGATAAGAAAGTAGAGCAGAGAATGAGTGTAGCAGAGATAAAAATGCTTAGATGGATGAATGGAGTGACTAGAAAAGATAAAATAAGGAACGAGCATATAAGAGGGAGTATAGGTGTAGCGTCAATCGTGGATAAGATTTTACAAGACTGTAGTGAGACCAGCTATGATGTATGGTTCAGAGTGTTGGGCGGTTGATAAGAAAGTAGAGCAGAGAATGAGTGCAACATAGATGAAAATGCTTAAATGGATGAGTGGAGTGACTAGAGAAGATAGATTAAGGAACAAACATATAAGGAGGAATATAGGTGTAGCTTCAATAAGATGAGAAAAAATAGACTTAAATGGTTTATTTATGTTATGAGGAGAGAGGAATTGGAAGTTGTAAGAACAGCTATAGAAATAAATGTTGAAGAAAGAAGAGGTAGAGGAAGACTAAAAAAGAGATGGAGGGATGCTATTGAATGCGATATGCAGACAGTTGATGTGAGTGTAGATGATGTAAGTGATTGTGTCAAGAGGAAGTTTAGGATAAGGGTTGCTGACCCTAAATAGTTGGGATTAAGGTGAAGAAGAAGAAGAGTTATTTTTATTTTTATAAGTAATTTTCTATTAATGTTGATTTCTCTTCTATTAAGCATAATTGTAAATTAAATCATTTTAAAATTCTATCTAGAAATAAAAAATATTTTTGTTAATTATGTACTAATTTGTTTTATTATTCAATTACTATTTATATTTACAAGTTATTTATTCATTTTCAGAATACATTCAATGATAATGCAGCTCATGCAAAATTTGTAAACTATTCCTTTAATAAAGAAGAGTTTTTACGTTTGGTAGCAGAAGCAGCTCGTCACGTCAAAAAGAACAAACTAATTTATAGTGCTAAAGTATATGATGAATTATAGTTATGATCAGATACAGACCGAACCTGGAATTTAAAATGAGATTAGACCTTTAGACTATATTAAAGGCTACGCCCAAAAATGTTCAGTAAAAACACAATTTCTCCGAATAAAAAAATGACAGCCCTTTTATCCTAGGCTAATACAATTTATGATTATTGTACTATTTTAATTTAAAATTATTAACTAAAAGAGCAATATGAAAAAACTAAATTGTTAAGTGAAAAGAAAATAATTATGTTTATTAATTATTAAATTTTATAAGTTGTTTTTAATAAAGTTGTTTATAAATTATTATGAACATTGTTTATTATTATTTATTTTTAAAAGAAGAAGTCTAATAAGAAAAATGACAATAGTTATACTTATTTAATATTAATTTAATGCTCTTATATTTCGTAAAGTTCTTTAAATATAAAGATCAATTAATCTTTTTTTTTTTATGTGTCTAATAAAAGAACTTGAACAATAATAAAAAATTTAATTAAATATCGAAAAATTATTGAATTTAACTTTTTTAATCACCAAACAGAATTTGAATAATTATTTTTAAAGCTGTAAATAAAAATAACCAGCACAATATCGTCTCAACATAGTTGAGACAACTGTAGATAATACAAATGATATATGGACCAAAAGGATTATATAACATTCTTAAAAAATGTTTAATTTAACTTTTAACTAAGCCAATTAAATTTATAATTTATCGAGTTTTAACTGTTAACTTATCGACATTAAGGCAATTTTGCAATATTATTGTAAGTGTCCATTATTAAGAGTATTTCCGTCGTGTTAAAGTCAATAACAAAACTGGTTGTGTACTTGCCTTTTTTTTTTATCCAATACGATTATATTGATTGAATAGCGACACACGTTTATTTTATGTAGCATAAAAATCATAGTTAAGCACCAGCCCCACCGTAAATTCTTATAGACGCGTTATACAAATAATTAAATTGTTTATTCTCGACGAGTATGAAAAACTAAATATTTGCAGAAAACACGTTAAATCATATGAAGTCTAGATCGATTATTTTGAAGTTATAAAATTACAAAAAAAAATTCATGTTTTATGAATATCTCTCAAAATATCGTTCTTAATATACCCCACAATGGATAAAAATATTTACAACCCCTGAAAGTGCATTGTAATTGTGCTTGTATGACCGTTTTAACCATACTCCATCTGCTACAACAGTAATCATAGGAATCCCTTTATTATTCACCTCTCCATTTTCAATAGCAAGCTTAGCTTCTTCTTTTCCTGCTAACTCTATCGAATCCCATGTAGTTTTTTCAGTCTGCTTAACAATATAAATATAGTTTAAAAAACTAAAAAAACACGCTTTTAAAGCACATCGAACTAAAAAGTTAAAAATAATTTTTAAAATAAGTTTAAAATAATTATGAACAAAAAATACTAGTATTATTGTGATAAAAGTGTCGGGCGCTCAATATATGAAAAATATGACACAAAGCACCCACGCTTTTATCACAATAATACTAGTATTTTTTGTTCATAATTATTTTAAAAATTATTTTTAACTTTTTAGTTCGATGTGCTTTAAAAGCGTGTTTTTTTAGTTTTTTAAACTATATTTATTTTTTACTTTTTAGTTTCATGTTATGATAGTAGTTACTATCAATATCATGGTTTTTACGGGTAACGGGAAATCAGGGTTCGATTCCGGAGTCTGAGAAACGGCTACCACATCCAAGGAAAGCAGCAGGCGCGTAAATTACCCACTCCCGGAACATGGAGGTAGTGACGAATAATGACGATACTGGATTCATCCTATGTAATCGGAATGAATGAGTTCTATATCTCTAAATAAGAATAAAGTGTGTTAATATATATTTTTAATAGTAATTAGAATATATATATACATGTAAAGCGACTTAAGTACGTAAACGTAACATGCACTAGGTATAGCCGTGTTTTGTTGGCGGGCGAGTCGGACTAATGTTATACCTGAGGTATAAACAGCGGTAGGAATATATACGTAAGCCGTATGCACGCGGATGGTATTGGTCAGTCAAAATAAAAATTTGTTTATATATATATAATATTGATGATACGCACGTGTATACGGGTACGATAACCAAAAATAAATTTATACAGGAATAGTGTTGCGGTCGTGTGGTGAGCGAGGCGTGGGGTGAGGTGAATGCGTATGACAGTCTAGTCTAGACGACGGAATATGCGAAGACGCGTGGCGTTTGGAGAGTTACATACATACAGGTGAAACTAATATAAGCGTGTTAATAATCATGACATTTTTGATAAGTCTTATTATTCACACAAGGCATATTTAGTACAGCAGAAAACTGTTCTAAATTTGTAAACCCCTAACCAGTATTCAATGTAGCAGTAACAATTATAGTATTTATACTAAGAGAATCATTTAACTTGGGATCCTCTGAATAAATAATTTCTTTTTTTTTGCAAAACTTACATTCAAAATGAAATTCTGAAAAAAACTCCTTTGAACTTCAGTTTTAAATACAAGATTTGAAAAAATACAGACAAATAACTCGTGTTTAATTGATTTCAAACTATTAAAAAAATATTTAATATTTGATCCCTCCATCTCATTTTTGGTCTTCCTTCAACATTCATTTCTACAACTGTTATTACAGCTTCCAATTCCTTTCTCTTCATAACATGACCAAATCATCCAAGTCTATTTTCTCTCATCTTATCTGTAATAAAACAAAAATAAAAAGAAAGAAAAGAAATAAGAAGGTAGTAGTATAAAAGTAAAAATATTAATTAATTAATTAATATATAATATTAATTATATGATTTTTTTTTATTTAAATAAAATTAAATGTCTCGTCTATAATATTTATTATATGATTTACACATTAATTGTTTCTCTTACTAATTATTAATTTTCCTATTTAATTTTTTATTAATGATTTATTACGCAATAGATTGTTGGAGATTCGAAAGCATAGATTAAATTGTACTTACCTTACGTCCTGTGTAATGCAATAATATTTTAAATAATCCAATGTTGATTTTGGTATTAAACGCAATGCATATACAATTTACACTATACGTCATATAGTCCATATAATTACTTACAAAAACTATTCAAAATTTTAAATAATAAGATTTAATTACACAAAGTCTACGGCTGATCTTACTTGTAAATTATTCTAAACACTATATTTTATTATAAATATAATTTTAATTTTTTTACTTATTGATTTTTTACGTTTGTTGAACAAGTATTTTTTTTAGAGAGTATATTTTATTGAGAGATCGACATCAATATATCTGAAATTTTCCTCTGGCCTGACCAAAACAAAATTCAGAAATATTTATATCTGTGTAAAAAATTTATCAAGGCGGAATTGTGGTGGCCCAATGTGTCCCGGCGCTAAAAAGGACCTTGAAAGGATGCGGCACAATAATCAACAAGACAAAAATTAAATATTACAAATATACTCGTCAGTTTCTCTGCGTTGTCTGCCGGCGCGATGTTTGTTAAAACAAAGACATTAGCAACGAGACTAGCTACTCAGTACGCATAGGCTTACGAATATATTCTAACCTAACTCAAAATATTTATTTGCAACCTTTACTCTATCTGCCGGCGTGATGTTTGTTAAAACAAAGGCATCAGCGACGAGACTAGGTACCCAATAAGAAAAGCTCACAATAGATTTTTATTATTAAATAAAATTTAGAGTTGGGTTGGATTTATTATTAAAATAAAATAATTTAAAAAATTTAATATTTAAAATATTATTTGATAGTTATTTCCACAACAATAAAAATAAAACATAATTATTTAATAAACAAATTAAATCAAATCAAAAGATTCACCAAAACAAAATTCACTTTAAAATTTCTAAGTGTCATTTATTTATTTTTTTTTAAATATTCTAAGTCCAAATAATTAAAAAATCGACTAAGTCCCGGTGAATGAAATCTTGAGTAGAGTGTCGTAGATTTTGTGTCTTTTAAAATCGCCGAAAGAACTAGTTTAGACGGGGGAAAATGGCTTTTTATAGTCTGAAGGGAGTAGCCCAGCGATCCCTATCGTGATCCTGGAAGCTGAGGCTTGTGTTCTAATTGGTTAATTGTAATGAGGGGGCCCTGTGTGTAGGCGTTACTTAATAATTTCTACAAGAAGGAGATTTTATAGCATAATTAAAGGGTTATATTGTATTTAAATAAGAGAACCCTGTTTTGGTGATCTTGTACAATCATAATATGTGACGTACATGTACAAATAATAACATCATATTATATGTTAATATTATAAGTAATAATATAATATTACACACCTACGATTGACGTTACACCTATGCTCCCTCTTATATCTTCGTTTCTTATCCTATCTTCTTTAGTCACTTCACACATCCATCTAAGCATTCTCATCTCTACTACAATCATTTTCTGCTCTACTTTCTTGTCAACTGCCCAACTATACACCATAGATGATCTCATTACAGTTTTATTGAATCTACTTTTCAAGCTCATTAAAATTTTTTTAGCATATAACATACTAGACGCTTCTCTTCACTTTAACCACCCGCACTTAATCTTATGTCTTACACAATCGAAAATATTACCGCTCTTTTGCACAACTGATCTTAAATACTTAAAACTTTCCACCTCTCCTATATTGCCCTCGCCTATTATCACTGATCTCCTCATTCCACCTACCTCGTATTCTGTTACTCCTCTTACGCATTTATATTACTCATGTACAAGNCGATTGACGTTACACCTATGCTCCCTCTTATATCTTCGTTTCTTATCCTATCTTCTTTAGTCACTTCACACATCCATCTAAGCATTCTCATCTCTACTACAATCATTTTCTGCTCTACTTTCTTGTCAACTGCCCAACTATACACCATAGATGATCTCATTACAGTTTTATTGAATCTACTTTTCAAGCTCATTAAAATTTTTTTAGCATATAACATACTAGACGCTTCTCTTCACTTTAACCACCCGCACTTAATCTTATGTCTTACACAATCGAAAATATTACCGCTCTTTTACACAACTGATCTTAAATACTTAAAACTTTCCACCTCTCCTATATTGCCTTCGCCTATTATCACTGATCTCCTCATTCCACCTACCTCGTATTCTGTTACTCCTCTTACGCATTTATATTACTCATGTACAAGCGCCATAATACAAATTCTCTATTATATTCATGTACCTTTTCGGGACTCCTTTTTTCATCAATGCCAACTTTAAAACCTTTCTCGTTACTATGTCATATTCTTTTTCCAAATCTATAAATACCATACACAGCTTTTTC